TCTTAATACCCGACAGGTAAATTCTATTTCTTTCTTTCTGTCTCTTCATTCGTATTATTTTGTCCTTTCCATTGTAATATTTTGTATCTTCAACTTTCTTGTTCTCTACCCCCACCCGATTTAATTTCTACACCTCATTCATTACCACTGTTACTGATTTGACCAACACTCAATTTCTAGTCATTTATGGTACCGTCATCCAACTTAATTGCTTAATTTCGTTTCTAATTTAAATTGCATTATTCTCTACCCCACTTTTACTCAGTCTCTACCTGTAATTACCTCTGTTGCTACTCTGACCTAAGTTGAAACATTTTAGTCAATCATATTACGTCATCTAACTTACTAACTCAATCTTACTTTAGTTGCTGTCTAACTAACCTTGTTTCTGTATTAGATCATTCTTGTATTACCTGATCAATTATCTAAATTTGACAAACCTCATGTACACACACACACAAACAAATAATAATACAGCAAATCGCAGTGGGAAAAAAAGCCTGTCTTCATTCATTTCGATTTTAAAGATGAGCATATTGCAAGAACAGTTCACAGAAGGTTGAATACCTTAAAGGCCAGAACACATGCTGCGGCTAAGTTGGTTTCTGTTTATGGGACAACAAAGAGACGGGCGCACCTCCAATTTTCTAAACATGTACCGAGAACTCTAGGTCTCAAGTTACGTAATAACGACAGGAGGTGTAAAGCCGAAGATTACGTAATCAGATGAAAAGCATAATAATGAATGACATTCAGTGATCAGGTGGGTAAGGAAGGACTGATAACTACTTCTTTCTGAACGCGTAAATCAGGTTTTGGTTCAGCATATGTTGTAACTGTACTGAATTAAGGTAAACCCCGTCGCCAATTTGTTATATCTTGCTCTGTCTGCGCCTGAACTTATATGTTATATCTCCTCGTCGTACCTCCCGACTTAGTAAAGCACGCAAATATCAAAAGACAAAGGCTGGACTGTGACTGTGTATTGAAGTGCAACAACGATAAAGAAAGCCATGGTATTTATACATTTTACAACAATATGGACAGCTAACAGCATTTGAAATAATTGACCTTAATAGCCAATAACAAAGTGTGTGAGAAATGATAATATGCCATATGTGCGACATTGACAGTCAGTAACAAAATGTGTGGGAATGATATACCATATATACAAAATTAGCAGTCACTACCAAAATGCGTGAGAATGATAATATACAAAATTAGCAGTCAATACCAAATGTGTGAGAATGATAACATACCATAATGCAAGTTTAAACAGTCAATACCAAAATATGTGGGATCCTATCACCTCCCCCCGTAAAGAGTGTAGGACTTGCTTTTTGGATCTATTTGCAAAGGTTTCGGAGCTCTTCTTTGTCGAGTTGACCTTTGCGTGGTACTGGATAGAGCGTGATCTGTGTGTCTGACACATAACTGTCCTTTTTCATTTGTACGATAATGCAGCAAGAATTTATCCAAAATTTTTTTCTGTTGTTCCCTCCCCCTTCGCTTTTGCATAAGCACGCTTAAAGGTGTCGACGAAACGTTCAGTAATAGTTGACGTAGGAGGGACACTGTTGCAATTGATGTGGCAGAATGCATAGGAAATATCTCTGGCCATTTGGAAAACGCGTCGACACATATTAAGAAATGCATACTATTTAACGGTCCAGCGAAGTCAACATGAACACGGGACCATGGTTTGTCCGGTCGTGGCCAGGAACATAGTTCTGTCTTGCGTGGACACTTTGATGCTTGAGCACATTTACTACACTTGCGAACGAGGTCTTCGATATGGTCATCGATGTTGGGCCAGTAAACATAACTGCGAGCGATCGCCTTCATTCTCCCAACACCAGGATGTGATATATGAAGCTGCCGAAGCACATGGTCACGAAGATTAGCTGGAACAACAACACGATCAGCAACCATTATGCATCCATTAACGATAGATAGGGATTTGCGTCGCTGGTAAAACTGTTTTAAAACATTTGAATGAACATGTGGAGGCCAGCCAAATCGGATGAACTTTGATACTTGCTGTAAAACTGGATCACGCAGTGTGTGTCTGGCAACCTCAACTGCAGTCACCGGAAGATCGTCCAGAGAGATAGACATTATAATTGGGTTGTAATTAACACAGTCAAAAATGTTATATAGTTGCGCTGAACAGAATGAAAACTGTCGTCGTTTGCGTGCTATAACTGCAATGAATTTAGGTAAAACCCCGTCGCAAATTGTTATATCTTGCTCTGTCTGCGCCTGAACTTATATGTTATATCTCCTCGTCGTACCTCCCGACTTAGTAAAGCACGCAAATATCAAAAGACAAAGGCTGGACTGTGACTGTGTATTGAAGTGCAACAACGATAAAGAAAGCCATGGTATTTATACATTTTACAACAATATGGACAGCTAACAGCATTTGAAATAATTGACCTTAATAGCCAATAGCAAAGTGTGTGAGAAATCATAATATGCCATATATGCGACATTGACAGTCAGTAACAAAATGTGTGGGAATGATATACCATATATACAAAATTAGCAGTCACTACCAAAATGCGTGAGAATGATGATATACAAAATTAGCAGTCACTACCAAAATGCGTGAGAATGATAACATACCATCTATGCAAGTTTAAACAGTCAATACCAAAATATGTGGGATCCTATCAGCATACTTAAGGAGAATTGAGCTGCTTTGTCTATTAATGATTTTAAAGGATTTTGCGACTTTCACCTTATAATTCGTATGGAGGAGACGCCCAGTAACGCCACTATTGAAAGCGTTTGTTCCCTTGAGACGTAGAGTTCTCGGCACATGTTTAGAAAATTGGAGGTGCGCCCGTCTCTTTGTTGTCCCATAAACAGAAACCAACTTAGCCGCAGCATGTGTTCTGGCCTTTAAGGTATTCGACCTTCTGTGAACTGTTCTTGCAATATGCTCATCTTTAAAATCGAAATGAATGAAGACAGGCTTTTTTTCCCACTGTGATTGGCTGTACTTTTTAGCCGTGATATCTTCCATATTTTCAAGTTTTGGTTTGTAGGGTTTTGATTGATTGGTTACAGGATTTCATCATGAGCTGACATCAATGAGAGAACCATTGGAAAACATGGGAGTACTGGACAGGTGTTTCGTCCTAGTTTGGGACTCTTCACAGTATGCACCCAGTGCAGGTGGTTCAAACCCAGGACATTCTGGTTGCAAGGCGGGCTTTTAGACCATCAAGCCACTTGAACCCGATTCAATGGCCAGTCCCTGAATTCCAACTTCTAATTAGCGATATAGCGCAACCGCTAACGAATGCATTCGTCGAGTATTTGTTATCACACCCGACCTACTCTTCATGGCTTCCCACTAGAATCCCAGGTAACTTCCTACCTAAATAGTGTCAGTCGCTACTAAGCATCAGATGAATTTTCAAGTGTTGGTAGGTGCGTACTGCCAAGGAGTCCCAAACTAGGGCTAAAAAGTTGTCTACTACTCCAAGGTTTTCCAACACTTCTCTCACCAATGTCAGCTCATGATGAAATCCTGTAACCATTCTTCCATATTTGTCGACAAATCTCTGACGGTAACGGATTTTTTTCAGCATCTTATGGAGAATCATAAAATTCTACTGTAATTTCTCTGCAGAGCATTTTCGCCTAGCTTTATAGTACACAGTCTTGACTGATGCTTGTTTCTGGCGACTTTGACAAAACTATTAAAATGTAGGTATCGTTCATTCGATGTCGGCTGTGAGTAAATAAACCTCTGGAGACTACCAGCCTCCAGGTGTTGCATGGCTTGGTGCAGTCAAAAGTCGACATATACACCCACCTTATGTTAACTCCAAATATGTATACAAATTTACGTGTATCCGTGGGAACAGTTACATTAGGAGAAGGAGAAGTAGGGCGCACCTCTGATTTTCTAAACATGTACCGAAAACTCTACGTCTCAAGGGAACAAACGGTTTCAATAGTGCCATTGGCAGATATCTCCTTGATAGAGATCATGATCTGGACATCGTAAATTCCTATAAATTTATTAATAGAGAAAGGAGTTCAATTCGCCTCAGGTTTGTTAAAGCAATCTCTATAATACTCCTAAAATAATACCCCATTTATGTGTTCACATAAAGAAACAGTTGTCAGTCTTTGCTTGACCACCTGGTAACTCGATTGTCATTCTTTACTATGCTTTTCATTTGATTACATACTCTTTGGCTTTGACCTCACCCCGGCCTCCCTTGATAAAGTGTAATTGCTTCTGTCTGATGTTTCTATGATTTCAGTTGAACTCAGTATATCATTACCCAACTTGCTAGTAACTCATCATCTTACCTACCTCTCATCTTTATTATGTAACTCCTTTACCATTGTATGCATACATTTACTTTGTTTAAACTTGTACTCCTTGTGTACAATATATATATATATATATATATATATATATATATAATAGCGTAATTTTCTGAGCATTGTTCACTAATTGTTCGGATCTTTCTTAATGTGGTGAGAGCAGGCTGCTAGCCAATTGGTAGACATTAATCTACGTCAATGTCTAGGTCACTAGTATTGGCCGTGAGAAAATGTGAACAAGACTGATTCAACAACCAATCACAGCAGACTTAACGTGGGCAAATAAGATTCTCATATAGATGACCTCACTTTCCGAGAAACCCAAAAACAACCAATCAGAAGACTGTGTTTGTGTACTTGAATAAGCTATAGTAATGTACAGGAAATATATATATATATACGTGCTGATTTCCGTAATAAAAAGGATATGTTTCCGGCCCTTGTCTTCTATTGTTACACATTTACTTCGTTTAAACTTGTACTCCCTGTGTACAATGATGGTATCACTGGTGTACTTGCTTTATTCAAAAGGCTATAACACTTTAATCCCTTATTGATATCTTGTATTATATATGTATATGCGCTTATCTTAAATTTCCTGTTTACATACACAGATACATATGTATTGTTTTCTTTAACGATTATAGATCATTTGTTTCAGCGAATCAAAAGTTGAACCTGGCGGTGTATTTTCATCTTTCACACAGTACAAATCACATGAATGGTGAAGTATGAATGAGGAGTATTATTGTGACAGTTGATGAGGATCAGGCTGAGGAGGAGGATGACGATGAAACATACCAAAATTAATCCCAGTGTTTAATTATTCAGATCATTTGTTTTATTACCTAATTATAATCACTTCTGATTGGTGTTTCTGTACAGTTGTTTTTTTCAATTTCTATCATAACTACTAACTATCACTATATATATATATATATATATATATATATATATATATATATATATATCACAACAGCAGCAACAACTACTGAGATATTGATGTTTTGTTTCTCAAGTCTGCTTGCTTGCTTACTTATTTTCTGGAACAAATTAGAAAAATCATGCTTGTATAATTTTGAAAAAAAAACAAGAAATCGCCTGATTTGCTTTTGCTCTTCTCTCTTTCCCATTCCTTCATATTTTAGTGTAAATTGGCGCTGAATTCTGATAGATCACTTCCTCCCCCTCCTCCTTCTTCCTATTTTCGAGTTAAATTATTCCATATATATTTTTTGTTATCTCACTCAGATTTTATTGAAATTGATTAAATATAATATATATATATTTATTGATTACCGTTATTATTATTATTATCATTATTATGACCTTTAATTCCTAGAGGAACATAGGGCTTCAGCCGCGCGTCTCCATTGCCTTCGGTTTACTGCCAACTTTTTCACCCCACTCCAGGTCTGTCCACATGCTTTCATCTCCTCCTCGCATGACCTCCTCCAAGTCACCCTTGGACGACCAACTCGCCGCCTCCCTTTCGGGTTCCACTCGAGCAATGGCTTGTCTAGTGATGTCACTTGATGGTTTCCTCAGAGTATGGCCAATCCATCTCCATTTCTTCCTGCTTATTTGTTTCACAATCGGTTCCTGATTGGTTCGCTCATTACCAGAGATCCCTGCTGCTGATCTTTTCTGGCCGGCCATCTGATCTTGAGTATTGAGCGAAGACAGCTGTTAATGAAGGTCTGAAGTTTGTTTGAGATGCTCTTTATGACGCGCAGTGCAAGTCTCTGATCCGTATAGTAGCACTGACTGACTTCACATTGGAGTTGAAAATCCGGATCTTATTTTTGATGCTGAGTTTTGTTGACCTCCACACAGACTTGAGAGTGATGAAAGCTTGTCTTGCTTTTCCGATTCTGGCTTTGATATCCTCGTCAGTTCCGTTGGCCTGTAGTTGAAACGATGCTTCCCAGGTAGGTGAAGGAGGCTGTTTCTTTCAGGTTCCTCCCATTTATGCAGGCTGATTGTTGTCTGTTGTTGTTGTCGCTGTTGGTGTTGGCCAGGAATCTTCATCACCTCTGTTTTACCTATGTTCGCCTGTAGTCTTATCTTTGATGCTTCTTCTGCCAGCTTGTTGCTTTTCACTTACATATCTTCCAGTCTAGAGGGAATCGGACATATATCATCGGCGAAGTCCAGATCCTCCAAGTTTTTTGTGTGGGTCCATTTTATGCCTGTTTCCCCGTTGCCCGTTGTCTGTCGCATTATCCAATCTACTGCAATCAGGAAGATCATTGGTAATAGTAGGCAGCCTTGTCGCACTCCAGTCCTCACTTCGAAGGATCCGTAAGTTTTCCGTTGTGGATTACTTGGAATGCAGCATTTTCGTATAACTGTTGGATGAGATGTATAATTGTCGATGGGACCCCGTAGTAGCGAAGTAGTTTCCAAATCACCTCTCGATCGACGCTGTCGAAGGCCTTTTCAAAGTCGATGAAGTTGAGTGAGGCGGAGAGGTGACTGCCATTCCAAGCTTTGTTCAATGATGATCCGTAGTGTGGCGATTTGATCAATAAACGACTTGTTTCTCCTGAATCCGGCCTGTTCCGGTCGAAGTTTTTCATCTAGGGCTTGTTTGATTCTCTCCAGGATCATGCGGCTTAGTATCTTGCTTGGGATGGACAGGAGCATAATAATTGCCGTTAGTGACATCATGATACTAACCATATCCTCGGTGTGCTCGTGGCTGTCTTCTGGGTGGTAACCGGAGTACATCACCGACTCTACCGTTGAAAATTTGAAGGGTTCACTCTGCTTTCATGTATTTTTCCAGTAGTTGAATTCGGTATCTTTTCGTCTCGTTTGCAATCTGGGCAGCTCTGTCAGTCTCATACACATGGTGCGAACTTTCCATGTCCTCACACAGACTTTTTCTTTTGTCGCAAGGAGACTCATCGTCCTGAAGTTTCTGTAGCATCCTTGTTTTACAGGGTGGAGTTGCTAGCCTCATGCCTGCGAAGGGGGGGTCTGTTACTTGAATGTATAGGTTACAGGGGAGGAACTTTTTGGGTTGCTTGCTCCCCTTTAGAATCAGAAAAACAAGGAATAAAGCAATCAGAACAACACCAGCGAGAAAGGGTTATAAAAAAATTTACAACAGGAAGGGCAGCAACAAAAAAAACCGTAGCAGTAGTATCACTGTCAAAAGAAAACAGTTAACAAAAATGATATCAAAACCATAGACTCACTAACTTGGGTCAAATTGGATATACAATTATAGATAGTTGTTAGTGTTTAACAGTCACAAAATGCCAAACAGATACTTATATAGGTATATTATCAGTCAATAAGATTATATCCGCAGATTCAGTGTTCGAGGGTAAACTAAATTCCAATAAATTCCACAATTTCCTGGCCAGAAACACCAGATAAATAAGAGTTTTATGTAGCTAAGCAAAAGTAGCGTACTAATCGAGAAGCGCGTCAAAGTCCATTTGCTGTGGTCTTGTCTTTTTACACAATAGTTGGATGGATAGTCGGTTAAGATAAACGTGGCTTTGATGATAATATTACGGCTACATGTTGGTTGATCTAATTACACAGTTGATAATAGCGTCCATTTTTATATTTAATATATGACCAGTTGTTGTGTAGATAGATGTCAGAATCACGTTCGGGGTTTTAACAGTTTGAAAAAAAAAATAATTTGGGGTATATGATATTCCTCATGAATGAAAAACAAAACGATACTGTTGTTGTTTTTACTGATGATTCTCTGTTTGATGCTGTTAACAGCTTTATCAAATCATATTAGTTTGTTAATTAGATATATCACACACAGTGAAACAGTATTTTTTACTGGATGACGAGGTTTCGAACACAATCTGTTATTGTTGGTAATCATTTCATCAATTATAATCACACGACTTCGAAACTTGAGTTTTGTAGTTTTCTTTGTTCTCTCCTTTTCGTCGTCGTTGGGGTAGTAGAATTTTCCAGATGTCCAGCTGGACAGGTGTGTTGAATCATTCCTATTTACACGTGTTTGCAGTCGATTCGATAAACAAAGCTTCAGTCAGTTATCATTCCCTCCCTCCACCCTGTTGTTATATTAGATTTTAAAGCTGTCACCTTGTCCTACCCATCCTATTGTATGGGTGTGTGTAATTGCATGTAGTGAGTGGTATAGCTGAACTATTTCTCTAGATTTCTTATCTTATTCGGGTCAACCAATCTGGATTTCGCTTGGTTTTTATGTTCCGCTAGTCTGACTTCTCCTGTTCTACTACTTTGAGCTGACAATCATTGCAGCAGGGTATCCGATAAACTAAATTGTTTTGTTTAAAGGACTCCACAGGATTGATCCTTTAACCGACAAAGTCTGTTTCTAATTGGGTCTGTGGGGGTGGGGGGCTGGTTGAATGCCACTTTTATTCCTATACTGTTAAAAATTCTCCGCCGTAAAGTTTCTGAGGTCGCTTCTTTGTATGAAAGTACTACTGATGACTTAAATTCTTTATTGTTGGTGTTATCATTATCCTGTGTATATTTGACATGCATGTCTGTCTGTCTATCTGTTTTCGACATAGAACTATGCACAAATGTGCGGAAGTTCAAGTTGCCACATTCCGTGTAGCACGCGAAGCAAGAGAAGAAATTACAAGAAAAGCATAATGGAAACAGTGAGCAGAGGTGTGAGACAAAGGAGTAATAAAGAAATACAAAACAGTTTCATTGAAGATCATAAGTCACAGGGAGTGGATGCATCTACGCCACTGAGAACGATTTTGAGCCATGTCACCAATTGTTTCCAACCATAGATTTTTACCGTCCCGAGGACCCCAGCCTGGAAGTCTACACCTTTCTACGTGGCTTAGACCAACTGTTGTGGTTTTCATTGACTGATGCCAAGTTTTTGTTTGACCGCCGCTAGCTTTTTTCCAGTCTGACCCTATATCCACTAACATTGCTCGTCGAGGAAGGCGATGACTAGGCATACGTAACACATGTCCTAACCATCTCAGTCTTTGTAGCTTCACGACTTCGTCGATTGATTTCCCCTGTTTACCTAGAACTCTACGCCTAACCTCCATGTTGCTCACCTTATTATGCCACTTTACAAGGGAAATAGAACGCAGACACCTATGATCAAAGACAGCTAGTCTTTTCATGTCTTCCACTCTCAGTGGCCAGGTCTCACAACCATAAAGGAGGACGGAGCGGACTGATGAGCAGTACACCCGCCCTTTGGTCGATAGTCGAACATCTCGTCTACGCCAGAGTCGGCGTAAACTTACAAATGCGAAACGAGCCCCTTGTATTCGTGCTGAGATTTCGTCAGAGATCAGCCCGTTGGGGCTGATGGTACTTCCCAAATAAGTGAAGCGGTCAACGTGCTCTACCACTTCACTTCCTATTTTTAAACTAGGCGTCGATGTAGTCCAGTCCTGTAACATCATCTTGCATTTGGCGGGAGCGAATCGCATGCCAAACATTCGTAGATTGCGGCTCAAGGTGTTTAGAAGACTCTGCATTTCGTCAGCGTCTTCGCCTAGAAGGACTATATCGTCTGCATATTCCAAGTCAACGAGATTATTCCCGGTAGCAAGTCAATCCCTGAATCGCTGAAGTCACCTAGAGTTAAGTCCATTAACACATCTATGATGAAGTTGAATAGAAAAGGAGATAATGGGCATCCTTGACGGACACCACTGGTCGTCACCAGTTCAGATGACAGCTCGCCGTAAGCCCTCACCTGGCTGTATGAGTACGAGTAGAGTGCCTTAATCAGTGCAATATATTTTCTCGTAATTCCCTTTACAGCCAAGCATCTCCAGAGAACTTCCCGATCGACAGAGTCGAATGCTGCCTTTAGGTCAAGAAATATAATGACTGTTGGACGCCGGTAGGAATGCCTATGTTCTAGAATCTGTCGGAGGGTGAAGATATGATCAATACACCCTCTTCCTGGTCTAAAGCCTGCCTGGCTCTCTCGTGTTTGTGCTTCCCGAGCACCACTCAGTCTACGCATGACATGCATGTCAGCATTATTATTCTTATTATCACAATCACTATTATTAATATGTATTTTATTTTTACATTTCTCTGCATAATTTCTGATAAATTTATCACAATTAGAAACAAGCTTTGTGTTATTTACTCGTTGCCAAATTATTGTTATGTACTGGTCGAGAATTTAATAGTCCTTACGCAAGAAAGACGGAAATCAGAAGACCACTAGGTTTGCGATGATACTTCTATTTTCCAAACACAAAGAGAATGCAAAAGTGGAATTGTGGTGAGAGCAAGCTGCTAGCCGATTGGTTGACACTAATCTACGTTAATGTCTAGGTCACTAATATGGGCCGTGAGA